GATGCTCTCAGTTTATATTGTACTTTGATCGTGTTCTTCAGTCAATTTAGTCAAGTTGGGCGCAACAACCTTCAATATTTTCGCTGATATCTTGATTCTTACGACCAAGTGAATATTTACCAAAGACTTCGCACAGACGGACAGATGGACATACTTAAATCGAATCAGAATTCAATATTGTTCATGTGTATGTATACTTTGTAGAGTCTCTAAAGCTTCCTTCTGCTTGATGCAAGCATTTTGACAAAATGAATACACATCCCATGGATATAAAAAGGTACGTTTTAATATGAATACATTTTTATCATTGTTCCTTTCCCCATATTTTTTTTAGAGTAATATTAATGTCTCAATATATTTAAGTTCTCCTTCACTGATTTTACTGTAAATTCATTGTGACACGATGACATTTTTTCAGCTCGCGGCAGATTTATATAAATATGTTTTTTTCTCCTATAAATTTAATCCAGTTTGTCCAACCTGTTGGCCACGTATTAACGGCAATTGTAGTGCAATTGCAATATTTTTTAAAACTAATCTCAAATGCATTTTACAAAGTGTGTTTAAGTAAATTGAAAAAAAAGGTGTTCACCGCGATTACAAAGTCAGTGTTCGCGAGTTCAAATGTCAAGTGAGGTAGAGTTAACTTTCGTCATAACTATTATGAGTGCTCAGTCGGTAAATATATCGGGCGGAAACTAATTAGGTTGCGGGATTCTCTGTCCTCACTTCTAACGGAGCCCTATCGTCACCCGAGTTACACGAAAAGAATTGCCTCATATTGAAAAAAGACCATATGATCAAAAGACCTAATATGACCATTTCCTTAGGTTAAGGTAAAAATAGCTTTGATTGATTGACATGGAATAAAGTAACTATCTCACAATCTTGTTAATTTTTCTGTTTGCTTTGACTATTTTTGCCAGCTCAACTATATATAGCTTAAGGTTCCGAATCGATTCAATTATGTATATTAAACTATAACATATGTACAAACAGATCATATTTTATCATTGTTAGGCCTGTTAGGTCTTAAATATATAAGAATTGAATTGATGGGACAACGTCAATCTGATATTGAAGGTAGAGGTAGAAACGACTTGCGTCCTCCTTTTGTACCCTACACCACCGAAGATTAACTTTGTGCGCATGTATGTATTACCCAGAAAGACTTGAGGTGGACCTAATTTTTATTATACGAATCTCTTCTGAAGTGATTCTGAATTGATCTAACCGTGCACTGCCCCGGCTTGGCCCAAGGACAAGTGTTATTCACAATGGTTCGGATCTGACCACTTTTTCGACTACTTTCCAAATGAAAGTCCTTATAGGAATAGCGGGCGGTGTAAGATGCTTAATGGTGATAGGAGTGTGGCGAGTCGACCTATACTTGAGCATGCTGAAATAAATGAAAGAATAATGGGAGCCTGACGAGTAAGTCAGACTACTACGAACTAATGAAAATAAAATTTAATAAAGTGTATGTTAAAGCAGCTAATAATAAGGAAGGAAATCTAGAGAATGAGAAAAAGTCAATGAAATAGTGAATGCATTTCGAGTTGATTTATAAATAAGTTGAAAGCATTAAATTATTAAGGAGTAGAGGGACTTTACAATCCAAACTATAAAGAAAGTGTATGCACTTCATACCGTACGAAGCACAGCAGATTTCGAAAATAGAAATATTCATGGAATGGAATCCGTTGGCCGCCAGGCAGCGAACCACAGCAAAATTGCATGAGTGTTAGGCGATGTTTATGTAAAAGTCGGTTTTGCAATACGATTATGAATTTTTTTTAAATTTAAAACTCAAAACCACTTTTAACTTAAAAATATTTTTTTTTTGATTTTTTTTTACACAAAATCACAACTTTCGATGATATTAAAAATGTTGCGGATTGAATAACTAATTCGCATAGGGATGGAGACGTATGTCCATGCCATAGAGATGAATGGCATTAACAACTTCCTGCCAAAAATTTTCTTTTACAAATTTTTTATTAATACCTTTATATTAAAAGTTTGTAAACTTTTTGGGTTTTTTTTTTTTTTTTTTTTTGCTAACACACAATTTCGTGTAAATATCTGAATTTTATTCTACTAGTGTCTGTGAAAAGCTTGCACACCTCTGTATTAAGTTATAAGTGAGCAAAAAAAAGGAAAAAAAAGAAAAAGAGGAAAAGCAAATGAAAAACAAAGGGGACATCGAGACATCATTCAGCAAGTGTCAAACACAAGGTGTTACTGCTGTCGCTTGGATTAAACATTTTCTCTACCCCCAAACAAATGGTTGAATTATGTTTAATGTTTCGGACGTTGTTAATTGAAATTTATTGTTTCTGAAGGAAAACCAGTTAAAGAGCCTGAAAGTGAGAATAAAAATGTTAAAAATTTAGATAAATTTTTTTTATTTTCATTTAACCTTAAAGTTATATATAATGTTAATTGTGAAAATATTTAATTGTATAATAATGAATCATTTGTATATAATTTATTTAATATTCAATATTTCACATTACATAGATATTCAAGGTTCATAAAAATAATTCGAAAGCATATGTTATTAGTATTAAGCGCTACACTAAAATTTTCCGAAGTACTTATAAAAGGACTAGACAATGGAAACCATATCTAGATTTTACAAACATACATTACCTAATTGGGTTACCCCTTATGCTCTAGAACAACACGCCTTAAGTTCAATATGTTTAAATATATATAAATTCTGTCTAAATTTTTCCGCAATTTCCCGTCTATTTATCCTATCCTTGAAATAATTTTCCAGTTAGTTTCATTGAAAACATTTGCCCCTAAGCTTTCAGTGTAATTCTCTCTTTTGTTAACAAAACTAGTAATTGTTTTGTTCTCAAAAAATGTTGTTCTAGAGAAATGTTTTGTTGTAATTACCTGGGGTGCTTGTGAAACGAATATCCCCAGTCAAGCTATTGTACCTTTTTGTCGCATTGCAAAATCATGAGGGTAGAGCCATTTCTTCTTACAAGTCAATGCATTGATCGTTTCCCCATTCCTAAATTTGTGGAGCGTGCTGTCTACGTTGTCAAGATTTCTTTATAATCAACATGTACCCTTAAGTCTTACATATTGCCATAGTTGAGTTGCCTGGAGTCAACGCCCACTATCTTATTTCTGGGCGCTGTTTCCGAGCGTAAATGAAAGAAAAATTAATTTTTTTTAAAAGCGATTGTTGGTGTAGGACCTCTTGGAGCACTAATGCCTTGCAGGGGATAATATTAATATTATTATTATTAATAATATTAAGACACTGTCCCGTTGTTTGCCAAGTGAATGTCGCCTGTGGACTGTAGATTGCTGAATAGAATTACAATGCCCACATTTAAAAGTACTGTCGTTAAGCGTTGATTGACAGCGTGATTCACCCCACTAAAGTGTACACAGTATAGCTTGCTAGAGGTCGAACTCTATGCCTCAAAAACACCGGCCTTGTACTTGTGTTGGTGAATAGGAAGGAAAGTGTTGCTACACTACAACAATACAAGTCATCTGTTACTTTATGATGACTGCTTTATGGTATTCCAAGCTCAATATGTCTAGCGACTCCATTTGGCGAGATGAGGTGGGAACAGTGTGCGACAAATTGCTCTAGTCGGACGAAAACCTTGGCAAGGAAAGCTTGCTGTACTAATTCAGATAAGCGAACCGAAAAATGAGGGCAATGTGGGAAAAGGTAGGAGATAGCGATTGTTCATCAAAAGCTTCCCTTCGAAAGGCTGATAACACTGAACTGGAATGTGTTGTGCTTTTCGGCGGGCATTCACCAGATATTACTGCTTTTAGTTAGTAGTGGTTGCGATCGAAGTCTTATTGCTTGGGCGAACAAGGGTTCTATTCTTAGGGAAAATAGTCAAAAAATGGCGGCTTCCATGAGTACCGCCAAAAGTCGTGCTGTCAACGTGTTTCGCATGCAGTTCACACTGCCTGTAAAACATGGGAAGAAGTTGTGGGTATCAGTGAACTATACGTTGAATGGAGTCAACGAAAACTTATTTGCATTCTTTGTCAAAATATTACGCACAAGCCTTGTATTCCGTATATTTCTATTCCTTACTTTGGTGTCATTGATTGCATAATATTGATTGATTGGTAAACCGCATAGTCTGCCACAAACTAAGTTCTTTGCTGCTAGTGATGTCGTCTATATAACAGATGACGAAACTCGTGTTAAACAAAAAAACACGAATAAGAAAGTTGTATTTGGCTGGCACCGAATCTTCTATACCGCCAGCCGTATTTTGTAATCTCTCCATTTCCTCGCATCCCGTCTTGTTTATCTTACGAGTAATAATACAATTTTGCGTGGGCTTAGCCGGTTTTGAGCCTAAATTTTCGCCGTCTTCCTATCTCTTATAACTCATGAGTAACGAGCAAAAAAGAGTCGCTTTCAGTTTTTGCTTTACTGTGGGCATGCGCCCTAACCAATTTGGCCCATTTTCAATACCAACCTATATGCAAGAACTTCTAATGCATTTGCTAAAGTTTAAAGTAGATATCTTCACATTTATAAGCAGGGGAGTGTGTTAATAATACACAATCGCACACACATTACTCAGACGGACAGACATTACCAGATCGATTTAAAATTTTAAGTTGATCAAAAATACTTTCCACCAGGAGACTGTCAACAACATACACCATACAGACACGCAGGCGGACAGACATAGCTAGACCGATTCAGAATTTTACGTCGATCAAGAATATGTGCTTTGTGGGGTCTCTTAAACTTCCTTTTGGGTATTGCTTTAGTTTACGACGAAACGAGTATGCTCGGTTGTGAGTGTAAAAATAAAAAAAAAAACCCAGCATTGTTTGTGAATCAAAAAATTTATTTTTTAAATACATTCAAAAGAAGAGAATTTTGCATTTATACGTGTACTATATACACATACATATATGTATATATATTTATTAATCGATAATCAATGGCAATTTTTTAATCTTTACTTTTCGGAAATCCATCTATATAATATATTTACACATACATGATGCATTTATAACTGTATACATATATATATAAACTAAAGAATTTCCTTATAAAAAAGCTGTTATCAGTCGAAGTGAAATTTTTTTTTTTTTAATCAAAAAATTATTATTAATTATAATTACGATTAATGTTATATTGATTAATTTTAATATTCTTATGACAATAAAATTCATGGACATTTTCGCAGGCAGCAAATGTTTGATAACCATAGTAGCAGCAGCGATAACACTGAATAGGATAAAAAAATCTATAACCTAAATAATTATTAAGAAAAAAAAGAGAAAATTATTTATTTATTATAAGCAAATGTGAATTGATCATTAAAACATTTTAAAAGACACGATGGCATATGCATACCATAGCAGTTCCATTGCAATTTGCGATAATCGTATTGGCGTTTAAAATAACAATTACGTTGATCGGCATCAAAAGGTTGAAATGAGGGATTGTTCGGAGGTCCTTCCGTTGCAGTGCTGGGCGGAGTAACGACAGGTCTGTTAGCAGTAGTAGTAGTAGTAGTAGTAGTAGTAGTAGTAGTAGTGGTGGTGGGTGGTTTCTCCGTTGTCGTCGTTGTGGTTGTGGTAGAGGTGGTCGGTCGCGATGTTACTGTCGTTATCCTTGCTGTAGTGGTGGTAGTGATAGCTGGCGGTCTCTCTGTAGTGGTGGTCGTTGTAGTGGGGCTAGTACTCGCAGTAGTGCTAGTGCTGGTGCTGGTGCTTGTGCTCATAGGCCTATAAGGACTGGAAAAGGACGGCCTATCTGTAGATGTTCTTGAAGTTGTAGTTGTAGTTGAATTGTCCTCCAAGAAAGGCGGCGGCATATCTTGACAAAGTGTACCAACAATTACGTAATTGAATATCAGAATAAATTTCCATTGATTCGTTAACATTTTTTTAACACGTTATATATGATTTTCCCTTTTAAATGATTAATTAATAATTATTTTTATAATTGTAATTATTTTAATTTTTTGTTTTTATATTTATATATATTTATATATATACATATATATATATTGATTATTACAATAATTTGCTGCTGCCTTAAACGCGTTTGCTTTCAAACTGAATCGATTCTTGAAGTGTTAAACGAATAATCATCAGGTCTCTCGCGCTTATTCATTCAGTTTAGTAAACAATTAATGTTTTATTTATTTTTGTTTTTATTTTTCTTCGCAATATTACATTTAAGTGCAAAATTTATACTCTTACGAACAGTTTTTCGTTTATTTTTCATTTATTTTAATTATTCATGAACTGATAAGTCTCTGGTAACGTAAAGGGCTGTCTAAGTACTTGCATATGCAAAAAAAAAAATGTCTCTCTCTATTATTAATCTATTTTCTAATATGCTGGCTGGCTGGTATAACAATGATTTTGTGTCGTAATTTTTGGGTATGTGTGTGTATGTGTGTCTCAGTTTTCGTCTTTTTTTTTTTTTTGTTTTCAAATGTTATACAAATTGTAAAAAATTGGTTTTTTAATAAGTTTTAATATATTTTTAAATTTTTACTGGAGTTTTTTTTTCGAGTTTTCAAGTCTTTTTTACCGATAACTTAAAACTTAAAGTGCAGCCGTAAAAATTTCTTAATAAAAGATAAGAGAAGGAAAAAGTATTGCAATTGAAATAGTTTTGCTAATGATATCAAACAACTGAAATTTTTCACCACAAACCTTCAGACCTTCATTGTATCCGCTGTTGATTTGCTTGAAAGACCGAATGGTTAAGAAATCCGCCAGCGACCTTTGAACTGTTCACGACGACATTAATGTAAGATTAGCAATAAGTTAAAACGTTGTAGGTGGGTAACATTAACAAATAGCCACCCTACGCCAGCTTGTCCCATTGTTCGCCTATGTTGGTCAAAAAATATCAAAAATGATGTCAAGATTTATTTTTCATAAGAACATATCTAAGTTATTGGTTTCAAAATATGAACCGATGAAATCTGGTAAATTTATTTTATTCGCTTACGTTGGTTACATTTTGTTCCCATATGAAACCTTGCTTTTATGCACGTCCTTCCATGGCCAGACGGTCCGAAAAGTAGGTTTGCGTAGTCTAAAGTTACTACGGTAAAATATATCATATATACTTCTTGCCTTAATCATGAAATGTTAAAAATGTGAAACTTGATGCCATATAAAGGCATCAAAAAAGGTTCTAAAAACGTTTACATGGAACGGTGTTCCAAAATGGGTCCTATTGAATTCAAAATTTCCACATTTATTTAATTTGCCCAAGCGTTAAATTTCATCAATTTTTGTCGAGAATAATTAAAAACGAAAAATTTTTTTCTGATAAGTACGATTTTTGCAAAATGAGTAAAAATAGTCCGTTTTAATCCATACGCAATAGTATTCTTTCTAGGACCAACAAAGTTGTCAGTATTCATGGCAATATGTCGAAAATTGCGGTCTCTAATTAGAATGCAGAAGGTATACACGGACAGACATAAGGTGGACAGAGGGACCGACGAGCTTCAATCAATAGTCGACTGGTCCAAAATAAAGTGAAGTGAAGTGTCTCGATGCCATCTTTATGTTGCAGATATGTTCACAAACGTAATATACTCTCACCAGTGTAGAATATATACAGAAAATATTTCCGGACTAGTAAATCTAGTCTAGAATTCTCGCACTCGACGAGCTGATTTTAAGACTGTTGACTATAATTAACAGTAAAATCACTTTAAATATTTAACAGACGCTTTAAACTTTTTAGAATGCCTGGAAACATTATATTACTTAAGAAATTATATTACTTAAGAAAAATTCTTTGGAACTTCAGGTTTTCCCCAAGTCTTTCAAGATGAATATTTGTGTTAAATAAGTCCTTGTCGGGAAGCTATAAAAGTCCTGTTTGTTGATACCTCGCGCTACTAATATCCCGACAGATGTCTTTAGAAAGAGTTTGTCTTGAATTATTATTATTATTATTATTATTATTGCAAATTTAGCCAGAGAAAAAATTCTAAGACTAAATAAAGTCTTAAAACACTAGCATCTAAGGCTTTCGGTTTCATTAAAAAGTCTACCACACTTGAAATTTGAACCCACGACCATTGAGTTGCTAGTCGAGATTCTTGCCTATTCGGCCACTCAGGCGATATGTTGTATTAAAAGTATTCCTAAACAAAATAATGTGAGTCGGTCTCTGAGAATGGGTATGAGTCTGGAAATGACTCGAAAGTATTCGGCTAAGAATTTAATCAAGATTTTGACGTCAGTTATGAGTTCGACTGTAGAATTATGTATTTTCCCGCCGTTTTTTTCCGACACACAAGCGTAAGGCGTGCCAGTCTGTCTTTGACACGGACAGCAAAAGAGGCTCTCGCATAATATTTTGTAGAAAAGAGAATGAGGACGAATATCTGGAGATGGCCGAGCATTTTTTTTTGAGACTGATGCAAGATCGCAAGACGAACTGTAAAGAAAAGCTAATAGGCTGAAGGCCTTCTGCCTTCACTTTGGATGCTTTATTGTAAAAAAAAAATGGTTTTTATACATTTACTATTCAAAATATTGCCCACCGTTAGTCACCACTTGTACCATCTTTCAGAAATAATATGCATTCTATGCAGAGAGAACAACGTTGATCTGCTAAGCTTATTTCCAAAGTAAACCATATTTGGATGTCTTCGTAACAATGGAAGTTCCGTTCGAACAAAGAATAGTAAGTCCTCTATTGAGTCGCATTTTAATCAAAAGGGGTCATATCAAAAGGGGATAAAAAAAAATTGTGTATAACACGTTGTAACACTTTCAATGCGCGTCCATTTAAACATGATGTGAAAAGACGGCCCTAAAGACAACTCCCGTAATTTTCATCCTTTTCACTGGCCTTTTTGCAAAATAACATTTTAAGGAGAAACACCATTACGTGGCATTTGCGATAAGTTAATTCAAGAAAGCCTGAAAAAAGCCACCGTGAATCTTTGGCTGTAGATGTATTAAATGATTTTTCATTCGTTTGCGGACGAATGCATGGCCCAGAAGGGCTTAAGGTAGATCCATCTTTTATTATACCGATCTGAGCTTGTCTCTCTGTATGTTCGTCTAATATCTGGCAAACCTACAGTTCACACTTTTTGAAATGTTTTGATGAAATTTGGCACCCTGGCACGCTTTGACCCAAAGACGTATGCTATTGAAAATTGTTCGGATCGGTCTACTTTTCCAACCAGGGACAATATAACGACTTTTCGTCGCAATTTAAAAAATTTCGCAACAAAAATTATTGAGTAATAGTACTTTGACATTCCAAGTCGCAAAATTTGGTTCGGCAGGGGCAATTCTTTTCACCCACTCACATATCCCCTTTCTTAGGAAACCTGAGTCTTTATAAAATAAAAAAGTATAATTATGGATAACCCCTGTTGAAAATTAGTTCAGAATAGTAAATCCTACCGGATTTGGACAACGCAGATCTATTTTTTGGATATCACGTCTAACGAAAAAGCCTTAATTGTTAATGTTTTATGCAGAAAATTTGTTCATCATAACAGTTTGACATGAAAATAAAGTGGACCAAACATAAGTCGAATGGATCTATTCTTTGGACCCCACTGCATACAAGATTTCTCATAGTAGGTCCTTTAAAAAAATGTTTAGCTTTTAATATTTTATGATGAAAATTGGTTCATAGCAGGAATATAGTAAAATGATTAACAATAGTAGATTCGGATTATACAAGTCTATTTTTTAGATTGCAAGGGGTTATCATGGAAAGCAAACTCTTGCTTAGAGAGAAAGTTTAATCCCTACCTTATTATGAGGAGAAGTGAAAAGTAATAAAAATTTGCAAAAGTTCGATCGCGTCATCTGGCATCCTCTAACATGCTGGCGCTCATGAAAAGCTTGTCTTTTCATGGAAATAATTCATAATTTTTGTTATAACTGCACTAGGTGAAGTGGTTTAGGTTATCTAAAAGTTGAACTTGCCCGATTATAATGTTTTTACTTTTTTCAGGTTCAAATAAGCGCAAGTTAACCTAAGAGCCGCAGGGTCGATTGCCATTTTTTAGCATATTCCAAATGTAGTTTTTTTTTCTCACTATGTAAATATGTGCTTAATAAAGCCCTTGAATATTATTATTCCCTTAGCTTTCTATCCACCCTAGGTAAGGCTGTTCAAAATATCGATTTCCTTCTGGGCTGGTAGACCCAGGGGCGTTGACCCTTAACTTGCATCTGATTTTCATCGCCTTCAATTAATTTCAAATGTTGTAAATGTTTTTTAAGAAAAATTTGGTAATTTGGTACAACACACAAATTGTTGTGTTCATAAGGAAACTTAAATAATTCCAATGGTAATATGGTTTTGAAAAGTTTATCAAATTATTACTTTATGGTTTATTACGTGTATAGAATTTGTATTTTTTTTATTAAATTACTTAAATCAAGTGCTTTTTCGAGTGTTTATTCATTTGCATAATTTTAGTAAAATTGAAAAATTTCCTCAGTTTTCTTTTCAATTCTTCCATTGTCTCTATGCTTAAGGTAATTGAATAAGAATTTATAAATTTATATATAGATATTTATTTTTTCGTTTTTACACACAAGCAAATGTCACAATTTATTATTCATTCATAACAATATTTATATTTACTTAAACGATGATTAGTACTTTTTCTGCGTACGCACATCTGTCGCCTAACCGCATGTGCTAGAAATGCGAGCAGTGTTTTCGATTAAATAGAGAGTGTAAAACGTTCAGGAAACATAGGAAATTATTGAAATATCAGTAAATAACTAAATGATTCAGTTACAACACATATTTATATGTATACGTATATTGAAATATACATATATGTATGGTATAACAGGTAACCTTTGAAGAACGGGTCATTTAAGTTAAAGTCGAACGAATTTCAAAGATATCAATGAAATGATTTGTCGGGAAAAGTGTTGCTTAAATCGATTTATATTATATTTAACTAAAATTAAACCCTTTTTTAATTTTTTTAACGTTTTATTTTTATATATGTTTCTCTAACCTTGCTAATATTGCATATACAACAACATTTTTATTATTTCAGTTCTTAGTTGTAAAGGAAAATAAATCCTTTTAAACTCTTCGTTATGCTGTAGAAGCAAACAATTGGTTTTAACAACAAGTAAATAAATGATAAATAAATGATATTTACTTCATTTATTCATTTTAAAATTCCAAATTTATTTTAAGTCTTCCTATTAAAGTATAAAAAATATAATTAAACAAGTAGAAACAACTATAATAGGTCGCGATTTCTCATAAAATACCTTGCACCTACATATATTTTCATATAACAAGATTTGTGTAAGTGGACTGTTTGGAACCATTTCCAGTTGCTTTCATCCGTGTGCCAAAACATGGCATTGTTTTAGATTTCATCAAAATATGGTAAAAATTGCGACCTGTATGTTGAACACAAGAATCCAAAACGGACAGACGGACCGACAAGATTAAAACGATTCAGAAGTCGTTTCACAAGATAATTCTGAACTTTCACTTCCTTTCCAAGAAATAATATACCTACCTATACTATACTATCGGAGTTATAGTAAAAGGCTTTTAGGGTGTAACTCATCCATACTTCAACTGCTTGAAAACTTAACAAAGTTTAGCATTTTGCATAATGTGTTCAGCACTGGCCGCTGTACCTATTTTTCAAATTTACTGCCACGCACATCAGTTGTCTTAACCTTTTACACGCATTGCCAAAAAAGATTTCAATCAGTTACATATTCTCAGTCTGCTGTTATGGCAACGGTTCGTCATTTTCGATTTAGTATTTAGAAATAGTAAATTTTATCTCCGTACAGCCGTACTAGCCGAATATAGACTTAAAGCTTAAAAACAGCTTCCTGTTATTTGGTCAGGTAAACCCTTTCAGTAAACCATTTCGTCGTAGTGGCTTGTAGTCTTTGGCATTATCACTTTCTTGATATCGTACATAAATTTCATTGTGATCGTAATTATTCGCATTAATCGGCAGCTACTACTTCAGCTAGCAACAACAGCAGCGACTGCCTACTAACATCGAAACAAAAATGCGGGCATTCTTCTAGACTAAAAACAAATAAAAACTGTCCCGTGTATAATATTTAATCATAAGATACTCTACTTCACCTCGCTTAGTAAATTACTTCACATCTTTCCCCCATAAAATAGTAAAAATCGCATGTTGTTATCGTGCAAATCCGGTCTTCCTAGCCGTCCGTAAGTAAACCGATTTCATCCAAATTTCGTAAAGTTAGTTTTTATGTTCAAACTGTATTATTCTTCTTCAGCGATTGTCCTCACAAAGTACCTAGAATCATATCTTATTACCATATAACGGCTTATTTTTCAAAAGTAGACCCAAACCTAAAATAGCAAATTCCTATGTGAAAGCGGCGTTTGCGGTGAAAGCGGTTTTTTTATGCAAAGGCTTTATTTAAATTAGATTCTATACATGGTGGAACGTAATAACGTTTGACCCAATTCCTTTTTACTACGATGTTGCATAAACGTTGTAATCTATGAAAAACGTTACAGCAGAGTGAAACTCGCACAATACATTGTCTACATTGGCTACTTAAGCGTCAAATCATTATTTTGGATCAATATTGCTCACAAAATAATAAAAGGCAGACCTTGCTTTCATATAGAGCTCTTTTATCGGATTGTTTATATGGGGAAAGACTTCAAAAATTATGCCGTTTTCTACTATTTCTTGCTGATTTCGTGTCGAAAAGTATTAAGACGTTATATTCAAAACGGTCGTAAAAATGGTAAAATTTGAAATTCGCCTTTGGGTTATGGTAGTGAAACAAATTTTATAAAAATATCTGAACAATTGATTGACAGGTTACCGTACATACAAATAGTTTCTGATTGATTTAGAAGCTGACGCGGAAACTTAAAATAATACATTGTAACAATAATGCTCGGCTTCCTCAGCGTTCGCATCCACTCGTGCTAGAGACACCTGCATAGCACATGATACACAATCGTGACGGGTCTTTTGTCTTTGAAACAGCTTACCAGCAATGAACTTTCTCACCATTCCATATGTTGCCACTTTGAAGTCGAACGTATACAAATATTGCCCATTTCTTTTCACAATTACCGCTTTTCATCCTTACACGCCATCTCCCTATATATAGTAGACAGCGTAGTTTAGTGCAGTGTAGTTATATCACGAGATAATAATAGTATATACTTGTAATAATCTAGAAGACGTAGGATCGAATTTTTTTCCAAATTTTAGGTGTTAAGTTCGTAAAAGCTCTGTAAGTATTCCTGACTCAAATCATACTCAATGTTACCTTTCACAAAGTTACATCCTCGTCGTCTAGCGAACTTTTAGTAAAATTCAAAATTCTTACAGTAGACAGACTGATGAATATCAAAATAAATAAATTCCTTAGTTATTTGCTGCGTGCCTTATATAAATCCCTTTGCACTGCCGGAGAGGTATTAATTTTAACAAAAACAAAGCCCGCTTTATTGAAGGGTTACCGGTTCATTTTGATAACTGATTACAATTTGTATCAAAATAAATTGCATAAGTAATGGCAGTTCGATATTGTAGTTAACTAAAGTTCAATTGGAAGCATACCTTAAGGCTGTATGCAAACATTTTGGAAATGTAGTAATATTTTAATTTCTATTAAATAATATTTGAAATGAAACAAAACTTTACATACAAATTTTTGCATTTGTTCTAAATTCATTTATTTCGAAATCATATATATATGTATGTAGCCTGCCGAACTTATCATTTCCTTTTTATACACCAAGGAAGAGGGGTATATTCATTTCGTCAAAGCGTTTGCATCGCGCAGAATAAAGTATATATATGTATTCATGATCAGCATCAAATTCTAAATCGATTTAATCATGTTCGTCTGTCCGTCTGTGTAATGTCTGCTGTATACATTCTCTTGGTCGCAAGAATGGAGCTATTGGCTTCGAATTTGGCAGAAACGTTGCAAGTTCTCGTACGTAGGCTAGTATTGATAATGGGCCAAATCGGTCGAAGGACACGACCACAGCAGCACTTAAACTGAAAACGCCTCTGCTTTTCAAAATGAATGAGAAGTTTCTCCTTCGTCTATTCCTCAGAGACTATAGCAAATAAATGTGCAAAAATTTGAACGCATGTTCTATGGGTGATGCGGTAGTACGTTTATAAAAAAATAGAAGAAATCAGCTACGCTTTCTCAATTTTCTAGTGTATCATAATTTAATTTTTTTTCAAAGTTCTTATAGAAACTTATAGAAACAAGCTTCAAAAAGCCCCTATGATATATAAACTCTTGGCCAGTTTTAGCTTGAGAATGCATCTAAACATGTCATTTGTCTGTCAATTTGGAAAAGAGTTCGAAAATGGCGCAAACAAGTGGAAGAACACACCTGCAACGCCGATACGTCTGCACAATCAAAACTGAGAACAGTTTTGCTTTCCGTGTCTTTCGCTCTCTAGTCATAAACTACAATCTGCACACGCTACAAATTTCCACAAAGTATCGTAAGCAGCAACGAGCACCCAATACTTTGGAATACGCAAATTTATATTTTTCCTTTTTTTCAACTTTTTAGAGGATAACGGCGATGTGTACAAAAGGTTCGGTCGTAAACGAACTTAATTTTCTTATTTATTGTTATATTAAGGCTTATTTTCTGTAAAAACGATCATATGGTATACTAATGACCAATGACTTTTTCAAGAAAAAAACATCATGTTGGGGGTGGTTGCAAAAGTAATCCGACCTTATTCATATTCGAAAGCGTTCATGCTTGCGCTAAAATACGTCATTGTAGCAATTTTCCTCTAAATATCTTAAAAAATTGAGTCTCGATTGAGGACGAAAATACTGACTGACATAGCGACGGATAGACGGACAGACAAGCTGTAATTGATGTGTTAATACGGACGGAGATATTTTCGAATTTTTAATTATTTAACATTGAATTGTTTTCCTTTGAAAGTGAATCCACTCGCAACTGTAAAAGAGAAGAAATGAGAAAAATCTTTACATTAATTGCGATGAGATCTTCCCAATAAGATTTGTTCAGTATATTCAAGACAATAAAATAAAATTTTACAATGATATTTGGTTAGATTTCTCCTTCATTATTTAGGACTGTAGCTCGACGACGTTTTGAAGAAACTTTATTTAGTTAAGTATTAATACAAAATGCTTGAGACATTTTATTATTGGTTTTTTATTTTTTGTTTTATTTTAATTCAATTAACAAGGATTTTAACTCATTTTTATATATATATATGTATACATACATATAGATGTTTAATTTTCTTAAAGTAATTATATTTTAATTTAGTAAAATATCGTTAATAATACAACGTGACGTATTATTATATTCTTCGCAAAAAAACTAGAGATTACTTAATAATTTTTATATCTTTAGCGGCGTGAATAACGCGGGAATATAGGTTAGGCTAGAAAGACAAGAAAAGGTAGAGAATAGTTTTGAGCACTATTTAGATCTGTACATTTCGTTAAATGTGGTTTTTTCGTTTCCTTAAGTAATGTCGATCTTTTATTCTGGACTGCTTTGTTTAAAGCAGAAACGATAGAGAAGTCCAGCCAAAATACCACCTATATTAGGGCCAATCCAGTAAACCCAATGATTATCCCATGAGTTTTGTACTACGGCTGGTCCGAAGCTGCGAGCGGGATTCATACTGGCACCGGTTAGAGGAACCTAAACAGGAAAACGATTGAATAAAAGCGCGTTTTTTTTTTTGCTTTTACTTACAGCACAAATATGTCCAGCTGTTATCGAAAGTCCAATAGCCAACGGAGCAGAACCTTTAATATCGATACGGTCTGAGTCCGAAACAGCTTTCACGACAATTACCAATACAAATGTTATCAAGGTTTCAATAAGTATGGCTTGACCAACATGTAGATTTGCCGCCGGTGATGTTATACCTAAATTATTGCCCATTAGAGTATCTAATAATGATAACTATATAAATGATATAAAATAGTTTTAATTAACTAAATTTCAAAAACATACGAATTTAATTAATTTATTACATAAACTACACCGGCACCGGCCACCGCACCGAGACATTGCATTATTATAAAGAATAAACCCTTTAAAATGCTTATTTCTCCAACGATTAGAAATCCCAAAGTAATTGCCGGATTAATATGGCAACCACTGATATGTCCTACGGCCTAAACAAGAAGAAGAAAAAAGGAAAAGAAAAAGAGTCAATGTATTTGATTGCTTTTATAGAAGTATTTTTTTAATCGCACAAAGGGATGTTTTACACTGACAAACAAACACAATAAGAACTAAGCTAAACCATTTTGTGTATTAATTATAGTTTACCTTTTCTGTTGTGTCACTATTTGCAGATGAATCCCGTTCCCGTTGCTGAGCCTTTTGTCGTTAACACATAACATACTTAAAGGATAGCTCATTAAAATTTAACATAACATCCCTGATCTATGAGATATGAGATGAATGGTGTAACTTACTTTAAATGAGCATGTAATAGGTAAGTCAAAGATAATTATAAAAATATTTTTTTTTGAATGCATCTTTGGCCTAGATACTGCTAGGACATATCTGCCCACACATAGAGTCCCGCATAGCTCAGCAAGATCCACATGAATTCGAGTTTAAGAGCCTTTTCTGTCACTGTCTTATCTTATTAGATACCTAAAGGAGGGCGAGGAAGACCTTTCAAAGGCAAAGATCTATTAGTAGATTTTTAAGGAAACCCTCGCAAAAGATTATTTTGCGCTTAAGCGTAAAAAAGAAAACTTTAAACAATGCTATACAAATATTTCTCACTTGGAAATGTATTGAGAACATAAGGCCTTGCAAATTAAGCGCAAACCGGTATTAGTGCCGACATTGTAGGAATGAGTACGAACTGTAATTATATAATAAATGTAGAGGTCAAAACTATGCATTTTCGTTGCATTTCATTGTAAAACTTGGCGAAAATCGTGACCAATGTATACGAGGAGAGTGGTATAAGCGATGGTTTAGATCGAAAGCATATTGAGAGAGATATGCGGAGATTTTTGATTTCCATAATACCTTTAGTTTTTTGATTGTCTAACTAATCAAGACTCTAACGAATCTCGACTAGTATTCGGCGCTTATAGTGTAGTGAGCATAGAATGTCATTATTTATTAATCTATATGCAATTGAATACAACCTAGCGATAACCTAACTGTACTTTTTTTTAAAGTTTGAAACGCAGTCTTTGGTCGAATAAAACCATGACTGTAGATCTTCTTCCTTGAAAATGAAAGTCACATTTTTCACTTTCATAAAATGTAATGGACACCATGCAAACAAATTGTTCAAATCAAATTGAAAGAGAAAAGAGTGCGATTCCAAGCTAAAGGAAGAAAATAGAGTAAAATCGTCAGTGCACATTAGGATATGGCTGGACTTAATCACTTAAGGGAGATTCATTGATTGACGCACCAAGTTTGTGTTAAGGGACGGCTGAAATCATGGGAAATTCATGGGAGCTGATGGATGTAAGCTAATAGTTTACCTAAGTACGAAAGAAAGCCCGACGTAAGTGCGATTGGCTTTGATTTCCTAAGAGAGCTCATTATCTCGCAGTAAAATCACTTTCATTAAATAATAGGCATTAAAATGGTGCTAATAGATCCATAAATAAATTAAATATCTACTTTTGTCAATTAAGTAAATCTTATCTAGTGCCATCAATTAAAATCATGAGTTGATTTAATTAAAAAAAAAAAAAAAAATAGAATTCTAACGACTAAATTTATAAAACGTGCTCTTATGCTAATTATGGAAATCGAACCGTAAAAATAAAACAGCGACAACAACAATAATAAAACAAATGTTTTAATTTTAAATAACACCATTCTTATTGAATAAATATACTTTTAAATCTCGAACAAGCGGTGCGCTAAGTAAAATAACTGAATGAGTAAAATGTAAACAACATTAAACCTATGTCTGTATGTACGTATGTATATTTTTGAACGTGTGATATGTGTAACTGAATGCGTGTCTGTACCTGTATCTGTGTGTGTGTGTGTGTGTGTGTGCAAGTTTGTAGACAAGCAGTGGCACAAGTTCATTATTAGTGGTCAACCGCCACCAGCAGTAACCAGCACAAAAACCATGGCAATGGCAGTTAACAGTGCTAATCGTACATTAGAGATCTACCGAATAAACGAACGGCTGTAACGGCGTTTAAAGCACACAATAATAATCTCCTCTCTATATTCCATTGTACTGTGTAGATAGATAAGCAGCGAGCGCAAGCCAATAAGCAAGCAAGCAAGCAAGCAAGCAGGGCAAGTGTGGTTGATATAAATATAAATTAGCCATTAGGCCTTTTTAGTTCTAACTGGGCCATGTGGTGAACCATGTGTTTCGCTTTCAAAAATCGTGTGAATTTTTAAATTAATTTTATATAAATATAAACTATGTGAGCCTGCGCGGCGACGCATAAATACGCATAAACAAACATGACAACATACGAGTACACATACATGCATACATTGCCTATAAACAGTCTCTTATACATTCATTCATTAATAGTTGTTTATTAAAGTAATTTTTTTTCCAGCAGTTACGTACAGAAAAAACAAACATAAAAAGGAAAAGAAAAAGAGTTTTCTGTGTTCAGTCTGTTCGCGTTGACCGTAAAAAATGTACACAAACATGCTGGCATGATTAGTGGCGTTCATATGTCTACGAAAATATGTTGTTTGAATTCTCCAACACTTAAAAGTGCGTAAAATATCTGAGTGTTGTTTTCTTTTCATACGAATTCTATTAAAAACCGCCTCTCATAACTCCCCCCCCTCTCTCTTTCTCTCTCTCTCTCTCTCTCTCTCTCTCTCTATCTATCTGTTGTTACAAGTTAACGATGGTTGGTTGGTTGGTTGGTTGGTTGGTCGGTCGGTTAGTTGATATTCATTCCTTCACATTACTTTACTTACTTGTATCATATAATTTCAGTTTTAAATGTTTTGTAGTGTGTGTGTCGTTTAGTTTAGTTTATACTTTTTCAAACTAGTTTATCTAGTCATCTCGACGTTTAAGACAAGTTCATTGAACGTTAACTCTAACTCTAATACATATATGCTCTCATATAATGCATTGACATTTTATAGTCATCGAATACTATACCACACCATATAGATAGATAAGCCTACGTTTAGCTATCATTAATACGTTTGCAATTAATGAAAAAAATTACTGCAAACAAATAAACCAAAAAGTATATACACACATACACACATACACACACACACACACACACACGGGAACACACTTGTGCACATATCTACACATATGTTCTCATATATATCGTTAGTTATGTGAATGTTGATTATTTCGATTTAATAAACAATTTCTGCTTCGATTTGATTGAACTTGTGTGTTTGATTTCAGTTGGTGAACGTTTTTTTTATTTATTTATGTTTTTTTTTTGTTTTTGTTTTTTTTTTTATTTCTGTCCATAAGTAGTTCTTTCGTTTAAAGCGTTTACAAATATAGTTAAAGTTATTTATTTAATGTACTCAATAAACATATTTTTAGTTATAATTTTTATGGTATAAATTATATAAATGACATTAGTTTGCGTTGATGTACTCCAAAGCCAGAGCATAATGCTATGCTCGATGCAATAAAATAGATAATAATTTTCGCAGCAAGTATGCAGTAAACATTTAAATTGTTCGATCTAATGATTTTAAAAAAAAAAAAAATTTCAATGTTGTTTGGTGCATATTATATGAGCTTCTACTAGAAGCTATATGATGAGCTTGCACAAATAAATTGATGCCAGCTTTGATATGAAATCACTTGAACATGTATGCTTCAACGAACGAATACATATAAAATGTACGCACTTCTATTAGTTTCAATACAAAAAAATGATGCTTAAATGTGAAAGTAAAGCAAACTGAATAAGAAAGAGAAAAATTGAAAGAAAAAAAAAAAAAAAAAAGAAGAAAAATGTTTTTAGTATTGTTGTAATTTATTTAACCCTATAGTACTTAACATGGAGATGCACGCAACACTTTCAATAAAATATTATACACATTCCGCTCTTCTGGATACATATCGCTTTGACTGTGGCGGGAAATATATTATTGTGATCAAAAGGTAGTAAGATTAAGTTGTCTTTGATGCGAGATGGCGGAACATTATGAATCCCCTTCAGCGGGGCAAACTGTTGGCAGAGAAAATTGCATAAGCGTTATGCTTTGTTGCTATGAAGCTATTCGTCAGAATTATTGGCAGACAACTCTGAGCTTTTGCGTCCGGATACTGCAACTTATCAGACTGCGTAGGAGAGTTTTTCGTCAAGAAAAAGTCCCTTGAAGACATAGAGCCGACTGAAAAACACGCTTTCTATTACATGACACTAAAGTGACTATTGATAGTATTGACGCGAAACTTGACACAGACACTAGTTCAGCTGCTCTTCAGCTAAGAAAAAGGTATTTGTTCGCATGGCTGAGTTAACTGAAAGGGCTTTCTACTAATTTTTGGTTAGACCAAAATGCATTTTCGGTCAATGGATAGAATTTTAGGAGGTCCCGGCTATCTACTCTGATGCCTGTTTGGAAAATATTGCTCTCGTCCACGCTCAGGGGCGTTTACAAAGCTCTGCTAAGAGCGTCGCTTAGTGTCGTTGCTAGCGAAATTCGAATTTATCTTCACACCGTTATGTACTTAGACGTCCGTACGTCGATCTATATACCTATTTTTTATCTTTTCAAATATATGAAGCGTTCTCTATTTCTTGAGTTGGCCCTTATGTTACTTAGAAGCTCTTCATTTATGCTTTTTATTCGCATATGCAAGTTTGATTTTGTAAAGTGACGGCTGCCGTGTTGTGCATTCATGAGAAGTATGATCTCCATAAGGGAAAATGATATATTTACTCTACATATTGATTAATGCTAAGTTTAGTTGGCTGAGTTGAATTTGAAGACACAAGCTTTACTTCATTGCTACAAGGCGATGATTAGAATTGAAGATGCAATCAACACCTTTAGTCAACAACTTAAATGAATATCAGTCGCATACATATGTGTGTTTTTCTGTGCATCTGACTGTTCTTTGATTTTCACATACACTAATTATTCAGTCGTTCCATTCTACTTCAAACTTTTGTTATGATGATATGACAAATTTACTTTAATCTTAATTAATAAGCCATTCAATTATAATTTTTAGTGATTAATTATTAATTAATAAATTTGTTTTATTTCTCTGTTCGCTCGCTGTATCTATTTACATAAACACGCGTTCACTGTCCCACTGTGCAACCAACCAAGCATCCTTTTTATCATGTATTCATCAGATTAATTATTTAACCGTTTAATTACTAGTCTGAACAAATACCCCTCTTAACCATCCATGTGTATATCCTGTTCTATATACCTGTTTCTCAGCCCGATAATTTTATCATCTATCTGTTTGCCAAGCCAGTCAATTATTAGTTCACTCACCAGTCCATTCGATAGTAGCATTGATTCTTTCATTTTTATGCATCCATATGTCCGTAAGTCCAGTCAATTGTGCTTTTGCGTATTTTTCGATACGATATTCTATTCATTTGTCCGTCTACCTTTTTCACGTTCCTGCGTCACATTGTTTCTTCCCCGTTTGTTAAGCTGATCACATATTTGTTCAACCATCAGTTCGGTGGATTATCCCATATTCATTCGGTTTCTGCGGTCCCTGTATTTACTTGGTTTACGTTCATTGACTTATACGTCTGTGTCTCTGTCAACTTGATAATTTGTCCGTGGGATATCTTTTCCCGCCATGTTTGTACATCGGACCATGTGTCTCTCCATTACATCTGCTCTTGAATCCATCTTTGTCTATATTTGTCCGTCCATCTATCTAAAAACTAAGAACTAAGATCCTTCGGCCTTGCAAGGATTAAAATCTTCTGTACCAAGCCATTCATTATTTCATCACAAATCTTAATTATAGGTTATGCTAAAATATAAAGTGGCGATTAAAAGCGAACCACCCTATCATTTTTTTAAATTTTAATCAAAAAAATTTCAGGTGGGTTTGGCTTGTTTAATGTTCTTTATTACGTGCTGAACTACTTTGGATAAAGCTTTAACTTTAATTATGCAGTAAAGTAAATAATTTATTAGCAACAATGGATAATGTAAGCTGCAATTAAGTTCAATTCTATCAGCACTATCTTCTAAATTGCCTAAATCAAAACTTCTTAATATATATGATTAAGTAAATGCTACGATTGCGTAAAAAAACTGGACAATTAAAAATCACTTTGCAGGTAAACTAACTACCTTTGCTGCTGTTTTTATTGTTTTGCTTTGTTTTTCTATTTTCTTACCCAAAACGAAGCCCTAAAGGCCTAAAGCTTAACCTAAATTCTTCAATTCGATTGAAGGCTAAATGATTCTTAACAGTTTTAATTAAATCAGTATTGAAATAATTAAATCTTAGCTGTTGTTTTTGTTGTTGTTGTTGTTTTTCTCATATGATAGTTAACTTTTAAAACATTTTCTTAGCGAACAAGTGCGTGTAATTATGCACACGTTTGGTGAATAAAATCAGCGGAAAACATATATAATATATATATAAAGTAAAATTAATGACTTTTAAAAATTACACACATATGTGATTTCATAAAATATACAAATGTTAGACGCGAACTGTGGAATACGAAGAAAAAAAAAACCCGTCTGACAAAATGAAACCAACAGCATACGCACTAATTGCAGTAAATTGTAAATTGCGTCTCGTTTATAATTTGTGGTGTAGTTTTGCCTTCTCTTTCCATTTTCAATACGCAAAAGAAAAAAAAAAACAAAAAAAAATTAGTAACTTCAACCGATTCATGTTATACCGAACCGGTTCACTTATGTAGATTGAATTTTTTTCCATAATTAAACAACAACGGAGGAGGGTAGGAAAACATCAATTTTCTCAGATCACTTCGAATCACAAGAAAAATTTATCCGAAAGATGCATTTAGGAAAAGATTCAAAGATCAAATTAAATGCATCCGTCCGTTCATCCGGTTACATTTTCCATCCGTGTTCACTGCGAACATTGTCAATCTAAACTGAAATTGTCAATCTAAATTGACTTGATATCGCTCTTTTCAACAGCTTGGACATGCTCACCAATACTTTCACAATAACTATAACAAAGGAAGAGGACGAATCTCTACTAATAAAACATTTCAAAAGAGAAAAGGAAACAAACTTAACTTCACTTCCTTCAAATCTACTTCGAAATCGATTAAAATTTATTCGGAGCAACCATCGAAATTCGAAAACTTGGCTGACACGATCATAAGCAAGAAAATACGAAGCAGTTTTCACATTTCAAAAGATAAAGAATCTTCGGTTCCCCTATTTACTTATATCCCAATTTCTTGGCAACATCTTGAGTTCACTAATTTTATCGCCTTTATCAGGCTTAATAATATTCCATTGGAATATCTTACCATACCTTAGCTAAGGAGTTAAGTATCTGAGATTCGCCTTAAATCATAGTTGGATTCGAACTTTTAAGTTTCTTTTTCATATGTTGAAACCTTAGTTATGAATTCAGTTAAATTCATTTAAAATGTAATTAACAATATGTGATGACGTGTGCTTTGTTGCCTTTTGCCAACAACAACAACAAAAACAACAACAGCAATAACAACCGCAACAGTCGCAAATCACATACAACAACTGATTTTTATCAGTTAAAGAAAAACAAAAAAAAAAATAAAAGAAAAAGAATTGAAACTATTAGACATATATTCGTTATTTACACACACACCCACTTAATTATTTGACATTTAAGTTTAGGTCTTTTAAAATTGTACGAATACCACCAACCAAGCCTTGTATTTGATTTATTTTCTTCAATTTCAAGGTACAATATCAATGAACTAAGTTTCAAGTATTGAAAATCGATTACATGTGTGATTTGTTACTTACTTGAGCCATTGAAGCCACGGCTAGACCGAAGGCGAATGATATTTGTTCCACCGACCCGCCAATGCAACTAAATAAGCCCAGAAAAAGTAGGACAAATGTGCCGACAAACTCAGCCAATAACTCTTTCCAGAGCTGTTTATTTTCTTTCAAATCGTTTACACCGACTATGTCGCCCATATCTGGAAGCAAATTAAACAAATGATTAAACATGTTAATAAGCAAAAACAAGTAAAAGCATTTTAGTGTACAGTAGCTTGCTGTCAAAATTCCTAAATCAGCCTACAGTTCATACGACTCATATAATGACTATTCAAAATAAGACACTATATGGCAGGCTGTCGAAAAAGGAGTCCAATCCGAAACATTACCGACAGTGTTCATCCTTGGGCTGAAGTGTGTCAGTGTATAAAATTTCATGAAAATATCTCAAAAATTGCGGCCTCTAACTTGGTTGACACACGAAAACAAGACGGACCGCCAAACTTAAACCGATTCAGAAAGTAATTGTGAATCGATCGGTAATGGTAAAAGGTGGTACTATCCAAAGTACTATTCCAACTCCTTCTATGTGTTGAACCATGAGCGATGTAGGGAATAAAAAGTAAAAAATACAAATAATAATAATTCATAAGAGATTCATTTAAATGATTACTCGACTTGAGTGAAAACTAAATTTCATAAGTTTTCAAAAGAAGTTTCTGCGTTAATGTCGTAATGACGTAATGTATGTTCGTACAGACAGTAGGTTGCATAGGAACGACCAAAGCAGAACAAACATTGCTGGCTAATGAGCTTGTAGTCTTTAATTTACGTTTTTATTTCAGTAATAATAAAAGCTCAGGCAATTGTCAACCCATTTTGGATACTCACGACAATTCTTTAAACTAAAGCGTACGTAGTCCTTACTCTATCAGGACTTATATAGAGTCTAAGAACAATTCTCTCTACATCTATCTCTCTGTCTATGTGACAGCTTTTTTAGTAAAAAATAAAAAAATGTAGAAGACTTCTTGCATTTCTTACATTGTCCAGGATATTATCGGTTGCCAAGCTTATGCAAGTTTGCGTTGGCTTGGGGGTTCACTTGCAATTTGGTCCTGTACCGGTTGGGGGGTGTGGCTCTATGCTAATTGTGTACATGCTTTTTTTCTTTTTTTTTTTTCCTTCTTATTTGTTTTATTGTACTTTTACTAAGTTTTAATATTAATTAATTTAAGATTTACTTCAAGAGTCAATCGAACTCGACTGCCATTTTGTTTTAGTTGAGTTTCTTGTATAAGTGGAGTAAATAAGTAATAATATTGCGTATAATAAATTTTTATAAAAAATATCAATTTTTATTAACATTTATTTAGATTGTAAATTTTAGATTATAATAGTCTTATGATATAAAAAGAAGAAAACGTTGAATTGTGCAGAAAGAAAGGAGAGTAGGAAAAAAGACAATTGTGTTGTCGAGCAAAGGTAATCATTTATTACCTTGGACTACTTCATTACTACAATTTAAAATTAAGAATTTAATGAAAAATTATATATTTTGACTGTACGAAAAATCTTTGAGCTTTGCGGGAGGAGATCAAAAAATAGATCCTAACATGGCATAGTAATGAATAAGAAAAACTCGGTCGCTTTTGAAAGTTTTCCTTTTAAATCGAAAGCATTCAAAAAAATTTGTCCCATCTTCATCCAAACATTCCATCCTCATTTAGTGAAAAATTTTTTTCATATAATGACATCGAAACTAGTGCTTTCGTCTGTTCCCTGTCAATAGGTTTTTGAGTATCCAACAAAAAAAAAAGTCTTCAAGATTCACAGAGAGATTGGTAAACAGAAAAGCGGGTGTGCAGAGAACCATGTGGACGGAAAGAAAGATTCCTGAAAAGGTAGGAAGACAGTTGAAGACGGTTGAGAAAAGCTGGAAGGAAGTTTGCGAAAAAGGCAATGGAATCAAGTAAGCAGATGGTTCGATAATGTACGGGAAGAAGGTTGGGTCGGCAAACAGATCCAAAAATAAGAGAATAGGCAGGAACAGATCAACCAGTGGACATGCGGACTCTTAGATAGATAGGCAGGCAATAGAATAGGTTGAAAGACGTAAAGATTGACAGTCAGACATACAAATTAACTGGAATAACGCTTAGAGGAAAGGATAAATGAACATTTTAATTGATAGACAAACATAGAAATATTATCACGCAGAGGGATTGGCAGAAGTGAGTTTGGAGGACGGAGATAAGAGAAGATGGGCTAACGGGAAGACTGAATAACGGACAGAGGCGAAGGTATATGGACATAGGGACTAACTACTGACGGACTAGCAGGACGAACACATAAACGAATGGGCCGGGGTCGGGTGCAATATATTTGTACAAGAAGTTAAATTTCTTGCAAATTATTTTCTTGATATTCGCTCAACTTCTATTTTAGATTATTTACTGACATATGCAATTTAACTAGACTTTTAAAAGTAAATCTTAAGGCAAACATTAGAAGTTACGTTTAGAAAGTACAAAATGCAAAGAAAAAACCAGTCCGTGTATAAACAAACAAAGAGAGAAAACTCTCTGTCCTTTAAAAGAGAAACAGAAGAGGTTTTAATAACGCAACCGAAATCAACTTTTTATTCGAATTCACGTACGATCGCGGCAACATCAAGCACACTGACCTATCTTCCGGACCATTACAACTAGCTCGACATGGAAACTAATGAACTTCATCTCACACATTTTCCTAAAAAATCGAACCGCATAAAACGAGGTTCGCTGTTGATGATATTTACTTTTCTCTCTTAATATGATCGATCATTTATCCGACGAAGTTCCCTATATACGTAACACAGTATGACGATTAGAATGAATGAAGGCAAAAGAAAGAGAGAGGGAGTGTGCGCCATCTTACCGAGTAAGCATTGACTGCCTATACTCTAAGCATAATAAATGTTTGTCAGACTTGATTACGCTTGATGTGTACCGAATAAAAGAGAAAAGTTTACAAAAGTGCAGTAAGTCAGCTTAAAATCACTTAACGAGTTGATCTGTTTAAGTTTCAATCTTTTATTTCGCGTGAATAGAAAATGTGATGAGGATATGACTATGCAACATAGAAGCCCTCACCTGCCTTTTGTTTTGTTTTTACTTTTTCAAATAAAATTTTTTCATAAAACATTGCGTATTAAGTGATCGTTTTATTAGCCAGAATTAGCCGAGAGCGTTCGAATAAACAAACTAGTTGTTAAGGCAACAATTAGCAAGTAGCCCTCTTACGGACAGCATTGACTAATCTTTGCCAAGTTTATAATTAAAAAGCAAAAGCAAAAAACATGAAAACAAGTTTTTGATATCACTGTAAAATTCATCTTCATCTTTAAACATGAATTCATTAAGTATTGGTTTAACCTGTCGCACCTTAAACTAACCAGTCATAAAGGTATAGAAATAAGTAAAAAACAAACGTAGGTGTCGCTAAATTGGATTTTTTTTCTTTCAAAGTCATTGTAGACAATTCGTTTTTTTTAGGACGAGCGACGGAAATGAATAACAACTTTTCGTATATTCGAACGTTTTACCCAATGCCCGGAAGGTCGCTTAAACTTCCATGATTGTTGATATCATCGCTATCGCAAATTGCGATTTTTTTTAATCTCCGTATTATGAAAATTGAAAATTTTTCCATTGGGCGCAGTTAAGAGCAGCAATAGTCCATATCATGGTCAACGGTATAGTTGTATTTCCTTAAGGTAATCGATGCGGAAAAAAAAGGGTCTTTAAACAACCTAAACATCCAGGAGATATTGGTTTTTTCTAGCGTTTTAATATTACCACAAAGTATCGCGTACGACCTAGGGATCAATCAATCCTGGAAATCTTTAGTCTAAGTTCATTGCTAGCAGTAAAACCAAGTCGGTTTGGGACACAAACAGTGCGCTGTGTTTGACGGGTGAGGGTTAAGGTCTGATTCATACAGTATCACTTGACTACGAGTGATCAATTTGCACGTGGCGTTTGGTGAAAAACTACTATAATCTAGATTTGAACCAAAGTTAATTGTCCAACACTTTTATTAGTCGACTCAAGTTCCTCGTAAACTTTGATTTAGTTCATAACCCGTGCAGAAATTATTCAGTTCTTTACTGAGGTTCTGTTATGCCCAGTTCGTCGACGCCTCTCTATTCTAACTTTTGGGTCGATTGGCTCCTTCCTGTGCAAGATACGGAGTATCTTTCTGTCTGTGAGCCTGCGAGGCACATTGTCGTAGAATTAGTTGTAACAACACGTGTACGGATTAGGGTTAAGAGTGCTTCGCTTGATTTTGGTGCTGTGTGCCTTGTAATTACTAGGCTTGGACCCGCACGACAAACACTTATTCTCACGCGCAACATCTCGAGAATTATGTACAAGTTAAAGTGACTGGCTTGCAAATAAGTTTCTTCAAAAGGCCTGCGTTTCTTCTGAAAAGTAAATCGAATGATGAGAGAAATACTCAGCTAAGCACTTTTTACTAATAAAAATCTCAGAGAAAAAATACTCGTTCGATTTCACTCTGCCCGGTGTTGCTCTCGTCTATATTTCTTTCTAAAACAGCTCGATATCCTCAATGTAATACATTACTGTTTAATCGAATCATTCAAATAATCAGTTAATCCTGGACAATCAGAGAGACGAGAGAACTTCGGGGCAGTAGGCTTAGAAAGATGTCGAGCTTAAAGAACATTTCGAGCCAAGAAGCTGTTGGCCTTGGAAAAGAAGGAGGACCAATATAGTAGCTTTCGTTCGATATACCAGCAACAGTGAACCAAATAGCTTAGAAGTACCAATAAAAGCCATTAAAACGATTTTTTTTTCTACGATAAACTGCGACCAGCTCTTCAAGCAGCTGCTCAGCGAATATTACGATTACGAGAGGTCCATACATAAAGTTCAAGGCAAAAAAGCTTGAAAGCGGCCGGGAAATTGTCATCCTTGCGACATTTTGCACTAAGCACTTGAATATTTAGTTTCTCCTTTTCTATCTATAGGAAAGATTGTGCATCGATGCTTGCCACCTTGAGTCCGCGCATCAGGCTTGAAGAAACCTTGCCATTCAAGCGTATAAGTTTAATATGAAATCAGATTAAAACATCAAAGTAGGTCAACTTAATTTTATTTACCTTGTCCTAGGTTCCCAACAACATTTATGTTTA